TAAACATTACTACATATTCTTTTAATTCTATTCATTTGATTAAAAATGTTGTTTAAATAAATGTTTTTAGAAACATCAGAATTCTAACTAACTAGTTTATTTATATTAAAATTAAAATAATTTCTTTTATCATATAAGTTGACAATATAGATATTTTCTTCTTTTTTAATACCTAAATCCAAAAAATTTAAATTAATATTTTCATCATGATTATAAAGCAAGATTATAAGCAATATTATAAAGCACTTCTTTTTGCGTGAGTTGATGACGAGATTATATCTCTTCACTATTTTGTTTTCAGGCTGTTTAAAAATGTTTTTTTTTCCCCCACGTAAATTCTTTTTTTCCCCCACGTAAATTCTTTTTTTCCCCCTATGTAAATTATTATTTTTTTAAAATTTTATTTTAGTAATTTTTTATCTCTTTTCTTAATCATTATTATTTTCAATGTTTTCTCTATATTTTAAACTTAAGTAAGCAGTTTAAAAAAATCGTTATTTTCCTAAAGNATATATATATATAATTACGTTCAAATTGGGTAATGTAATCTGGGAATGACTTCGAAAACTGGTACAGATAATGCGAAATGCTTTTCTTTACTATTGCTACGTATTTAATCTTCTAATCCAGTAAATCCCTTAGAAACCAATAATTGATAAGAAGAAGAATATTATTTATTTTGTTTACAAATATTTTGCTTTTCATTAAACAAAGACTACACTATATTACTATTAAGCAAAGCATTCGATTATGAGAATTCGATAACAAATAAATATATAACATCTAAATTAAGCATTAGCTGATTATTCAATAAATGTTATTCTTAACTCAGAACAGAATATGGGTTCTAAATTCAAATCAATATTAAAAGTTATTTGAATTTGTTAGTTTATTTTATCCGTTCCAAGCAAAGTCACTGTATTTTATTTATTTTTTTAATTGGAAGAAAAAATTAGTATTTTTCTTTCTTCAGAATATTTTTTAATCCTACGTTAAAATTTTTTTCATGTTTTTTTTCCATTTAGAAAAAAAAGAAAAAAAGAAAAAAGAAGAAGCAAAAAACAAGATTAATGGTATGTGCCCCTTAAATCATAGGACATATGTTTGAAACCGACTAATGAATGTAATGCAGCTTATTGATCGGTCTGAAACGTCAAAATTCAGCTTTTTAGTGTGACAAGGATAATTAAAAAATTCGTCAACAAAGGCACTGTTGACTGGAAAAAATTACAGAATACAGTTTTTTGCGGCAAGCCCGACTATTATAATTAAAAGATTTGCACGAGCATTTTTTAATATTGTTATGTGACGTTACCAAGTCATTGTCGTAAATGATTGATGAATTTTATCATTAAGTTTGAAATGTATTGAGAATAAATAAAGTAGTTTCTTATGCAGAATGCAGAAGTTGTACACTTCGCTCTCATTTTGCTAACTTTTTTTAAACTCGTTTGTTATCTTAGTAATATCATGTAGAATAGCATAATACAATTTTTAAATTGAATCTTTTTTTGATTTTTGAACAGAGATAATTTTAAAGTTAAATATATTTTAAACAATGACTACTTTTTAATGATAATCTCTTTAAACAAATTCAATGGCTACTTAAAATTATTTTAATGGCTACTTATAACACTTTAATGCAAAAAAATGGAAAGCGCTTTCACCTGTAAACTGTAGCGAACGATTGTCAATCAAGATAAACATAAACAAGTTTCCGCGCCGACAACTCTCTGTTTATAATTGATTAAAAACCTATTTTATTTATCTGCGTAATATTCTTGCTAGACAAAAGAACAACAACAATAAGAGAATAAATACTTGAACGAATAAATTGAATTGTGTTAAAATAAAATGTGGAAATAAAAGCATATTAGTTTTCGCAGGAAATGTTTATTCATGTAAATAAATCCGCATCCCATTTTGTATGTCTTCAATGTAAAAAGAATCAGCACCGTAAAACATTAAAGGAAAAAAAATAATAAAGTGAACTGTTTTTATAATCAAACAATTTCAAGTCTCTGAAAAAAGGTAACCAAAACAAAGTTATTTTTTATTAATTTAACAAATTTTATTTTATTTCGAATTTAACTTTTTATCGTCATTGAAAATTTCTATGAGATGTGAACACAACATTTGTCTGAATTTTATATATTGCACACTATTTCAAAGAATATTTTAAAAAATAATCCCCAGCAAAGCTTTCTAAGAAACTTCAAAGCCTGAACAGCCAAACAAGATTTAAGATGGAAAGAACCAAATTATCGATTTAGTTGCAAGAGAAGAGCGTTTACAGGTTTATTTCTAATATAAGGCATTAACTTTTTTGTCAGTTATTATCTAAATTATTATTAATATTATTGCAAGTATGTTTCAAATTCGTATAAATTTACGCTACTTACAGAATATTAAAAACTGATGTTTTAGAGTTAGTTTTATCCTTGTCATCTTAAATCGATCCTCATCCTCTCATGTTTGTTTCACCTAAAGCTTTGATTTGTAGGTGGTGCCATCTAGACGTATAAATCAGAAACAGCGCCACAAAGTTTTCATTAATCTAATTGTTTGAATTTGAATTTAACCAGGAAGTCAGAAAATTGAATCCACGTATAGTATCGAAATTCTTTCCAATGAATAGGATCTGAAGCTTAAATCGTTAAGAATGTTTTTAACCAGGTAATTGCAATAAAAGAAGCTTGATTATTATAAGTTGTTTTTCAATTTTTATTTGATACAAAGTTTGATTAAATTACTATTATTTAATTTTAGAATAAATTATAATTAATAATTAACTATTGATTAATACAAATTAATTAGCAATTAATTACACAATTATTAATGGTTATTGATTATAATTATTAATCAACTAATTATTTTCTACCAAGAAAAAGAAATCAGGGTTCTTAAATAATTATTTTAGATTAATATACATGTAATATTTTCCTTTGTTTTTTAAAGAAACTTATACACAATGAGCAACGGAAAGAAAATGAATGTGTTTTGCAGGTACTTTCTTGTTCCATTTTTCATTAAATAAATAGAAAAAAAATTAATCCTTTGTTTACTTAGATAATTGTAGAAGACACAAGGCGGATTCCTCATTTTTATTTTCAATTTTATTGTGTTTTTTAATATCTTTTAACTGCAAATAAAAGAGGTTCCATCTCTATTCCTTAATGCAATTAAATGCATTAATACAATTTAATCCTGAATGCAATGAATAGAAATGGAGGTTCCATCTCTATTAATTGCACTCCTAAAAATGATGGAAAAAATTTTATACCTTATAATTCAAAATTTTTTCGACTATTATTATATAAAATAATAAAAATAATAATAAATATATATTAAAAGTTATATTTTGCATCGAATTGCCTTTGGATGAACGAATTTCATAATTGTATGCAAAAAAAATGTTTTAATTCGCTTAAAAATTTCTCAAGGTTTTGCGAAATACGTAAAAAGTAAAAGTAACATTAAGGAGTCCAAACTTTGAACAGCGCTCCTGACCAAACTATTGGTACCATTTTTCCCAGATTGCGGCTACCCCATATATTTTGGGGGTCGAAAATCAGAATCCGTAAAAAAACGGTTTGTTTATTCAGAGAAAGTTCAGTTTTGTGTTTGATGTTGTAACATAAAATATCGTCCATAGTAATTAATTAACATATTTGATGAACCATTAAGATTGAGTCCTAGAATGTGAAGACCCTATTAAATCAGTTAGTAAGTTAGAATGGTCTGTTTTTTATTTTGAGCACTGTACATAATGTAATTTTAATGAGCTTCTAATGGTAGTTTTTTAGTCTAAATCAATTTTTAAAAAATTAACTACACGGAGGGAAAAAAATCTGGTAAAATTACCCTACTTATAGGGTAATGACATCTATGGTAAAAAAAAAGAAATTCAAAAAAAGAAATTAAAAGTTAACTTTGGTAATATAACCAAAGCTGACGGTATTTAAACTATTCATTTGGTAATTTTATCTTTCACATGTTGACGATTTACAGGAAGCTCTGTTTTTCAAAATTATAGCTCTTATTGGCACATATTTAGTGCAAAATATAAAACCGAAATGTAAATTTTACCGAATAAGTGATTTTTGTGCCCTGCCCTAAAGTATCATGAGGAAATTACCAAATTTGTGCTATATACCATATGGTTATATAAAATATGGCAATATAAAGTATGGTCATATCATATCTAACCATATTTTATTGTCAAATTTATCCTTGATAAAAATTAACTAGTTTTTTAGTTTTCCCATTACTGGGTCAAAAACACGGTTAATTTTATCATATTTTACTAATACTGGCCATACTTTTTTTCTTCTCAGTGTTAATATTATGATTATCACTATTGGGGATAAACGATGACTTTTACTGGAAACACTTTCTTTTTCTTATTAATTGTGATAATTTAACTTAGATTTTCTTTTGTCTTGGGAGAATCACTCCCTTTCGAATCATATACTAAAAATGCAACTTTAAAAATTTATTTCTTATTTTCTGAAAATTAATTTTTAAAACTTTTAAAACATTTATCCCGATGTATTTCTATCATATTTTTTGATTTCTTAAATTTAGAGAATCTAATAACTCAAAACATTGAGTAGATACCATATCTTTTTTATTATTAGCTGAATTGATAAGAATTTCCTTATCTTATCCGCTTGACTTTTCAAGGCTTTGAGTAAAAAATTTATTATATTAAACATTAACACAACTCTTTAAAAAATAAAACAAACTATTTATGTTGATTTATAAAATCAGTTTTTTTTTTTTTTAAGTGTACTTATACAAAAATCTATAACTTTCTTTCAGTGGACTTTTACCAACAAAAAAAAAAGATTTATGCTTATTTAGCAATTTAATATCAGGATATTTCAACTCTTTTATATCTTTCAAGCCTTTATTTTCGAAACAAAGAACATTTTTTTGATGCTGATAATAGATAAGATTACTTATTTCACACTGAAATTACTTTTTACGACATCTTTTTTTATTTTTACTACTGTTTAGTTTATTGTGTATTTCAGTTTATTCTGATCGGTTGGATTAAATCTCTCTAATATTTAAACCTATCATTTAAAAACATTAATAATTTTATTTCTATTTAGCTTATTTGCTTAGTTAAAATGCTTGAAAATCTACTGAATATTAGATTTGAGGTGTTACTGGCGATAGTTGTTGCTATCATTGCGTACGTAATAAGAAGTGTTATATACAATAAAAAGAAAAATTATCCACCTGGCCCAACCGGTCTACCACTTGTAGGCTATGTACCTTACTTACGAAGTGATGTGCATCTACAATTTGTTGAGCTTAGCAAGAAATATGGAGAAGTATTTAGGTTTGTTATTTTATAATAAGTAAATAATAAGAAAAATATTTTTTTAGCTTTATATATTTTTAGCTTATAGTTTGAAGAAAAATTAAAATATTAAAATAACATGCGTATAAATTACAAACATGTGCTAAAAATACGAATTTTTCATTTTATGCCTAATGTATACTTATCTCTATATAACGTATACATAATGGTATAACACATTTTTCCATTATTGTAAGTGCATTTTTATTAGTCGGAAACTCACATGCTTGCTTAAATACATAATAAGTATAATAAGTAAATACATATAATAAATAAATAATAAGAAAAATATTTTTTTAGCTTTATATATTTTTAGCTTATAGTTTGAAGAATAATTAAAATATATGAAATGTGCATCTACAATTTGTTGAGCATAGCAAGAAATATGGAGAAGTATTTAGATTTGTTATTTTATAATAAGTAAATAATAAGGAAAATATTTTTTTAGCTTTATATATTTTCAGCTTATAGTTTGAAGAATGATTAAAATATTAAAATAACATATGTATAAATTACAAGCATGTGCTAGAAATACGAATTTTTCATTATAAGTCTAATGTATACTTATCTCTATATAACATATAACACAATGGTGTAACACATTTTTCCATTAAAGTGCATTTATATTGGTCGGAAACTCACATGCTTGTTTAAATACATAATAAGTATAATAAGTAAATACATATAATAAAAGAAACACATATAATAAGTAAATAATAATAAAAATATTTTTTTAGCTTTATTTATTTTCAGCTTATAGTTTGAAGAATAATTAAAATATTGAAATAACATGTGTATAAATTACAAACATGCGCTAGAAATACGAATTTTTTACATTATGTCTAATGTATACTTATCTGTATGTACCATATAACATAATGGTATAACTCATTTTTCCATTATTGTAAGTGCATTTTTATTAGCCGGAAACTCACATGCTTGTTTAAATACATAATAAGTATAATAAGTAAATACATATAATAAGAGTAACAATTATAATAAGTAAATAATAGAGAAAATATTTTTTTAGCTTTATATATTTTTAGCTTATAGTTTGAAGAATAATTAAAATATTTTATGTGCATCTGCAATTTGTTGAGCTTAGCAAGAAATATGGAGAAGTATTTAGATTTGTTATTTCATAATAAGTAAATAGTAAGGAAAACATTTTCTCAGCTTTATATATTTTTAGCTTATAGTTAGAAGAATAATTAAATTATTAAAATAACATGTGTATAAATTACAAACATGTGCTAGAAATACGAATTTTTCATTATAAGTCTAATGTATACTTATCTTTACATAACATATAACATAATGGTATAACACATTTTTCCAGTATTGTAAGTGAATTTTTATTAGCCGGAAACTCCCATGCTTGTTTAATCACATTATAAGTATAATAAGTAAATAATAAGAAAAACACATATAATAAGTAAACACGCATAATAAGTGAACACATATAATAAGCGAAACACATATAATAAGTAAATAATAAGAAAAATATTTTTTTAGTTTTATATATTTTTAGCTTAGAGTTTGAAGAATAATTAAAATATTAATACAACATGCGTATAAATTACAAACATGTGCCAGAAATACGAATTTTTCATTATATGTCTAATGTATACTTATCTTTATATAACATGTAACATACTGGTATAACACATTTTTCCATTATTGTAAGTGCATTTTTATTAGCCGGAAACTCACATGCTTGTTTAATCTCATAATAAGTATAATAAGTAAATAATAAGAAAAACACATATAATAAGTAAACACATATAATAAGTAAACACATATAATAAGTAAACACATATAATATGAGAACACACGTAATAAGTAAATAATAAGATAAATATATTTTTAGCATATAGTTGGAAGAATAATTAAAATAACATGCGCATAAACTACAAACATGTGCTAGAAATACGAATTTTTCATTACATGTTTAACGTACACTTATCTCTATATAATATATAACATAATGGTATAACACATTTTTCCGTTATTGTAAGTGCATTTTTATTGGCCGGAAACTTACATGCTTCTTTAAACACATTAATTTCCATCTGTTTTGGTTGTCATTCGCATAAAACTAAAAAAATCATAAAACTATTGTTTTTCGATTAAAAAAATTTTGCATTCCTAATTTAAAGGTAATATTTTACTCATTCTACTCTGCTATCAGTTCGTTTTCTATTTTGATTGTTTTCTAAATTAAGAGTTTAAAACTAAAAGAGTTATTTCTTTATTCCAACGTTATTCCGAGATATAACTTTTAAGCTACGTTATAGCGAATTCAGCTATATTTATGATTAATTACATTTTATGATAAACTTACTTGAATCGGTGTCTAAACTTATTTTATTTTATAACCGTGCTTGAGCAGACGACCCAATTTTCGGTTTACGACTACTAATATTCAAATCCGTAGACTTTTAATTTTGAACCCTACCTAGAGGACGAGGGAATTTCTGGATCAAGTATTTTATAATTTTATATTTTACTACCGTCGTTGAACAGCCGACCCAATTTTCCGGTTTACGACTACTAATGCTCAGCTACGTAACCCTGTAATTTGAACCCAATCCAGAAGACAAGGATCAAGTATTAACAGAAATTTGTCTTCGTGGTGGACTTTTTGATGGAACTAACTCGCCTTTGCGTTATATGTTGAGGAAGACCACGATAATCTCCCATGGTTAGCCTGACGGCGAAGGGACTCTAACCCATGATCCGTCTACCACTGAGGGTATTTCACGTCAGCATTGTGGTCTGTGCAAGCCGGAGCAGATTCGTATCGACCAGCCATCGCTTGGATTCGAACCCGGTTCACCTCATTGGCAGGCAAATGCTCTACCCCCTGAGTCACCACGACTGTCTAAACTTATTGACCGTGAAAAAATTATTAATATTTGGTGCAAATTACATTATGTTATTATAAATTATCGTTAAAGAGTGACGTCACGATCATCTTCATGCACTAAGTCAGGGACGGCGAACCAATGGCACACGTGCCATTTATGGCACGCTACACAATATTTTGGGCACGCTACCGATCGCAAAGTTCACTATAAGGCATATTAACAATTAAATTAAAATTCACAAAAACAAACAAACAAAAAAATAAACAATTATTAACAAAAAATTAGCAATTAATGCCAAAAAAACTATTAATTACCATAAAAACAAGCTAACAATAAATAACTAGCAAAAAAAAAATTAACAGTCCTGCTTAAACTAGCATCTTACAACCTAATATAAGTTATTTGTCATCGAATCTGCAACAACAGAAGTCACACTGATGTTACTTAAGGTTGAATTACGCGTAAAACTGAGACATTGCAAAATGTTTTTTTTTTTTTCCCATAGTAAATGAAGAGTTTTGAGTTGATAGTATTCAGTATTATTATTTTACCAATAATTACGAAGTCAAAATTATTTGACGGCACGTTTATGACCTCATTAAACAATTTTTTAGAAAAAAATGGTACGTTGGTGCATAAAGGTTCACCATCCCTGCACTAAGTGATGCATGCAAAAATTGTTTTTAATATATCATCCAGTTTGATAAGTGAAAATTTTAATTTACGGCTGTGAACTCACTAAATTAGCATTACAACAACATAACTTTACTTTTAAACATTATTTTTTTTAAAAAATATTGCTAAGTAAAACTATTTATCTTTGTTAATAGATTATGGAATCATGCATGAAATGTCTGAACGTAGGAAGTGGGGCGCAAGCGCATGCAAACAAAATTCTTTTTAGTACATTTAAGTGAATGATTTCTCAGTTTCGTAGAAAAAATTGTTTTATGCCAAGGAACAACATTTACTGCAAAGCAATCAGGGAGTAAACTGGGTACTCAACCCCCAATTACGTCTACAATAGCAAAAAGAATAGGGGTTTTTGTGCATTTGTATTTTTACAAAACTCTATAATCATTTGTACTATCGTCTGAAAATCCTATGAATTGTACTATTGTCTTGAAATTGGGATAGTGGCCCCAATCAACAATTTTAACCCCTAATCCGAAGAATTATTCCCGAAAGACGTTCGAGAAAGGAATTTTTCTCATTGGTTTAGTATTAGCCTTTTATATAAATTAAACAGTGAATTTGTAAAAACTAAATGAAAGATAATTGCTAGTTTGTGACTCTATTTGATAAAAAAACAAACTTTATTTCACGTGCTTTATTAATTACCTTTTTCACTCATTATGTCAAATAAGCCGATTGTTTATTTTGTGAAACCGATTGTTTATTTTCTTTATACGCTTTTGAAAGATGTAAAAGAATAAAGAATTTGAAATCAAAAGTATTTGAAATAAAAGGAAATAAATTGTGTACTAAAAATCAAAATTGGGAAGAAATGGGTGGTAATTACAGAAAGGGTGGTAATTACAGAACACCCTGTATGTCAATGATAGCAATTTCTAAAAAAACTTTGTGTTCTTGGAGGTAAAGCATGTCCTTCATTTTGAAATGATTAACTAGTTGCATCAATTAACTAGTTCGGCTAACATTAGTGTTATTATTGTAATAAATGCTTTATGCTTATTCATTTTTCTATTTTAGTCTACGATTAGGTTCACAAGATGTAATAGTTTTGAATGGAACTTCTTCGATTAGAGAAGCATTTTCGAAGTCTGAATTTCTTGGCAGGCCACCATCTGGATCATTTACTGTGTTTGAAAAAGCTGCCGGAAGTACTGACTATTTTTTATTTTTGCATTAATTGTTCATTTATTAAAACTTTTTATACATTCTGATTAAAAATAATCAATCTCAATCTGTTACACTCATTGTAGAGTAATTCATCCAAATTTTTTGAAAATGTATTTTATGAAGAAATTTTGTTTAAATGATTATACTGTGAAGGAATAACGCTTATGAACAATAATACGTTAGCACTGTAGCAGTATATACGCACATAGTGAAATAATTTTTTTCACTAATATGCAACAGAATCCATTAGCAAAACTAAAAAGAAACATTTAGTCCATTTTGTGCATTAGAAGAGTTAAAATTATACTACTTTGGGTTCTATGTATCAATTTATTTTACAGTTGCTTCTTTCTATTTTATTTAATTCTGCTTTATGATAAATTCCACTATAAATAGAGAAAAGAAAAATCTATATTGATAATTTACCGAAACGCGTTTATGTAGCTAAGATAAGAAATATAGCGCTCATCAGTACTTTTTCATATATTGCTTAATGACGCATACCAAGCACAAAAATATATGTATTACATTATCTATGAAATAGGAAGAAAAATGAATGTACTTTGATCTCATTAACGCTTCACATTGTTTAAAGAAAGGTATCCTACTGTTTTATGGAATAAAAATAGAACAAATAACCAAGCGATTAAAAATAATTTCTAAATTCAATTAAAAATAAGAGAGGTAAACGATATAATTAAATGATTTTATTATAAGAAAACAGTATAAATTGATCAAATGATAAGGAAAGGGTTTCTCCATACTGAGCATTTGAATTGCTGAAACTCTACTATTTAGGTTTCCGTATCACAATTTAATATACTGTTTCTTACCTTTTTTTTTTTGTGTTTTTTCATTATAAATTAAACTTTAAATATAAAGAATTTGAATTGCATAATTTATCAAAAACAATTAATGTAGTAACGATAGGAAATAGCTCTCAGTCATACTTATTCTTATATTTCTTAATGATACATGTCAAACACAAAAATATACATTATATCATACATAAAATAGGAAACAAATGTAAGTATTTCGCCTTCATAAGCATTAAACATTGTTTAAAAAAAGATATCCTTCTATTTTATGGAATAAAAATAAAACAAATAGCCAAGCGATTGAAAAGAATTCATAAATTCAATTAAAAATAAGAAAATAAATCGATAAAATATCCATCCGATTGGTAATTACGCTTGTTGCTGAAGCTGGACGTCGATCTGAAGCTGAGTGGGCATGATGCCATTATTGGGAATCGAACCCCAATCTTATCCTTGGTGATAATAATCACAACATTTTTATTATTCTCAATATATTACTTTTTGGTGAAGTTTTTACTTTTCTGAGAAAAAATTCGATAATATTTTTTCATTATATTTATTAATGTTAGATAATTCATAGGTCCATTCTTCGCCCATAATCTTAATGTCTGGCAAGAACAGAGAAGATTTGTTGTATCAACAATGAAAGACTTGGGGTTAGGAAAATCAAAAATTGAGCAACATATACAAGTATAAAGATTTTTTGTTTAATTTAGTTATATAAATATAATTCTGTGCTTCTTAATATCAGTAAGATTTGTAAGGAAATACTATTTATAGATAGTCCTATGTTCCTTCTCAATACCTATATACTATATTTTTTCTCTATTTACACATCTTCTTGTATTTTTTGTCATTGATGTTACAAATTTATTCTGGTTGTAACAGGAAAGACTCTATAATTCTCGTTCCATTCTGTTAATTCAGTAAAAAATTATTTTTAATTAAACATACATCAATTTCGTATAGTTTTCACATATCTGTAAAAATTACAATACTATATGATGTTTAAAATGTGTACTGAAAATCGCACTTTTCAAATTTTTTGTTTGTTTTAAAACTCGCTTGTTAGTGTTAAAAGTGTATCCATCCTCTTCTAAGTCACATATAACAACGGCAGTATCCATGACGACTTTAGCTGTTAAAGTGCTATGACTGAGCTATAATTTGGCTGAAACTGAACTAGCCACTTTTTTTCTTTTTAATTTCTACTATACATGCAACTACATACATAAGTCAACTGCATACATACGTCAACTGCATTTATACGTCAACTATACACACATTTTACTAGTAAATGAAAGTATTATTTTCATTATTTTAACGATGATCTATGATGACTTATTTTTATGCTCTTTAAATGTATTTGAGTTTATTAGTTCAAAAAAAATTGTATTACAAATTAAAAGAATTTAAAATTTCCGATTACAAAGACTTGATCGATTAACCGGAAATCCTCTATGTTGGGAAATATCAACTTATTATGGATTAGAGGATTAACAAAACATCTTCCGAAATTTTATCAATCCGTCAGCGATTTATATAACCTAAATCAATCAAGCCTTTGTGATCGGCGACTTTAAATTTACTATTCGTCAGAGAATTGATAAAGCGTAAATCAGTCAAGCCTCAGTGATTAGAAAATTTAGCCAATCCACCAGACAACTGATTTACAATCTATTAATCTTATGACGGATAATAAGCAAAAATCTCCAATCACGGAGACTGAATTGATATTATTAATCATCTGACGGATAAACAGATTCAAACAGATTTTAATATTCTTTTGACGGATAATTTGAACTGCTTTTATCAATCCTCTAACGGATAATAATTTAAACGGATTTTAACATTACTCTGACGGACAATTTGAATTGCTTTTATCAATCCTCTGACGGATAATAATTAAAACCGATTTTAACATTACGTTGACAGATAATATAAATGGATTTAATCAATCCTATGACGGATAATTATTTAAACGGATTTTAATATTCTTTTGACGGATAATTTGAATTACTTTTATCAATCCTCTAACGTATAATAATTTAAATGTCAAACATTTCTTTGACGGATAATTTAAATTACTTTTATCATTCCTCTGATGGATAATTATTCAAACGGATTATAATATTTTTTTGACGGATTACGTATATTGATTTTATCAATCCTCTACGAATAATAGTTTAAACGAATTTTTCATTCCTTTGACTGATAATTTGAATTGCTTTTATCAATCGTCTGATGGATAATAACTTAAACCGATTTTAACATTATTTTGACGGATAATTCAAATTGATTTTATCAATCTTCTCACGGATAATTATTTAAAAGGATTTTAATATTCTTTTAACGGATAATGTAAATTGATTTTATCAATCCTCTGACAGATAATTATTTAAAAGGATTTTAAAATTTATTTGACGGATAATTTCAATCGATTTTATTAATCCTCCGACGGATAATTATTTAAACGGATTTTAACATTACTTTGACGGATAATTTAAATTGATTTTATCAATCCTCTGACGAATAATTATTTAAATGGATTTAATATTATTTTGTTGAATAATTTATCCCCTTTATTGATTTTATCAATCCTCTGACGAATTATTGTTTAAATTCATTTATAATAGTTAAACTATTAATTGATAATAATATAAAATCTCCAACTACTAAAACTTAATTAATTTTTGGTTTTTTTTCTTCTTTTTATCAATTCTCTGCCGATTTTTGATGAAAAAATCATGTTCCTATCAGTGGTATTTTATCATATTGTTAAATAGAGAATGGTATATCGGAAAGAAACATTCACATATATTTGTCCATATGTGAAAGTACGAAGCAAAACTAACTTAGATTATTCTCAATATCTTTTTTGTTAAAATGGATTCATACTAGTACACAACTTTTCAAAGTCCAATTTTTCCTTTGAAAAGGTTTTGGTAAAAGTGCTCCTTAGAAAATTTTAGAATCACATGACCAATAAACATATATACATTTACTATTGTACCATTCTCTAACTAAATTTAAATTAATACAAATTTTGATAATGCAAAACTTGTAACAAATTAAAATTACAAACATGATGATTCAATCTCCATTCTATGTGCTTCCAAATCTATCTGCTGAAGTAGAAAGGCCAAAATTCCAGCTTAATGTGTCATATTTTTTCAAAAATTAAACAATGTTATCAAAAAATGTGCTTGCAATGTTTTCAAAAATTAAACAATGTTGAAGAAAAAATCGTCTAAAACTTAGCATACAACATTTCATAAGAACAATGATGAATACATACAATGTGTTTCATTATTTCAGACTGTGTTTTTACAATCAAAAAGTCATTTTTTACGAAGAAGCTCTAAAGGAAGTATCAGTTACATAGTTCCATGAAATTTCAAGTAAATATATTAAAATTGAAGGAACTATGACATATTCAAATAAAAACCGGTAAAAAAAAACACTTTTTTAAATCATTTTTTAAAACAAATTTCTAGAGTAAAGTATTTCCGCAACAACATGTTACGGAGCCTAATTTATGATGATTGTGGAGCTATTACTTCAGAACCATTACTCCCCTTAAAGCCATTACTTCCCAGACAAGCTGGTACCCAGTGATCTAAATCTGCTTCTGCTTTATTTTTTAATCTGATCTAAATCTGCTTCAAACTTATTTTCTTTAAGAAAGCTATTTTATGCATACTCAGGTTTTAAGTACGAGTTTACAAAATTATTTTAAAATTTTCTTCACTCTATAAAATAACCTACACTCATAAATTCGATGTAACAAAACATTTAGATGGTAACGAACCTAAAGTTTTAAAAATACAGCTCACTGAAACTTAAATCTGATCAATTCAATTAAAAGTTTATTCTGTAACTGATATTTGCTGCCCTATAATATTGATATTATTTTAATTCCAATGATAGTTTTTGATACCAATATATTAAAATATAAGTACCATCTGCATAAAATTGAATCTCTATCACTTTCTTTTATTAATCAATTTATTATTTTCTTCCTATTTAATTATTTATTGTATCTTTGATATTTACTGTTTCATTTGATACTGTCTTGCAAGCACGAGATGAACTCTCAATGGGTTCGTTTTTAGATCACTCAAGGGCTCATCTCGTAATTGCTGGAAAATATTTATTTTCATTTATTGAATTGTATTATTCACTTATATAGGATGAAATAGTCCAGTTTATGAAAACTTTGAAACGTTATGGTGGCAAACCCATGAACCTTCTTGAACCACTAACTCCAAGTGTTTCCAACAACATTTGTGCTTTGGCATTTGGAAAGAGGTATGATTACACAGATCCAGAGAGGAAGCAACTGGATAAGAATCTAGAAGAAACAGCTAAAGTTATAGCTCAAACAGCAGCTCATATTTTTTTCCCATGGGTTCGATATTTCTTAAAAATACCTTTTGTTCTGGAATTCTTGAATTTGAAAGAAGGGATGAAAGCCAGCATAAACAACGATGCATTAATTAGGTAACAATTTTATTGCATTGATACTTCAAAATTCGATATTAAATTTAGAATTCCAATGGTCATTAAGATTCTAACGAAAAAAAGTATGAATGAAATATAGTGCTGGGTTAGACTAAATAATTCATCCAGTTTCAAAATACTGTTTATTTTTAAGTGTGAGACGCACAAAAACGAGTCATATATTTAAAATACATAGACTCATCAAGCTACTCGTACATACCATAAATATTCAATGACTTAACCTATATGCGGCTCACATTTTAATACAATAAATGCTCAATGACTTAATGCGGCTCACATTTTAATGGTAGTTCAGTTCATTCTTAAGTTCTATAGAATATTTCTATAAATATTCATCACAAGTGGAGTGATGTATAATACGCAAAAAATAAACGAAGCACCTTGAATAACTTTTTATCTAATGATCAGATTTTCGCATATTCAGTATTAATGGTTTGATAGGGTGACCTCAAATATGCTAATTAGTTAATGAAGTGGATATTTGTAGTTCCGAAATCAGAAGCAAAAACGTACTTTTTTTTAATACCTTTCATCGACGACTTCAGATTTCTGACCCTCAAAATATAGGGGACAGCCACAATTTGGAAAGTATGTTCCCAATAGTTTGGTCAGGAGAGCAATCCAAAGTTAATGTTAATTTTATCTTTTGGTGAGTTTCGCCATATCTCAAGGACTTTTAAAGCGATTTTAAAAACTTTTATCACAATTATAATTATAATATTCGATGAAAAAAATATTGGCAAAAAAATAAATTTTTGTAAATATTTATTATTACTTTAAATAATTGTTGAAAATTTTTGAATTGCAAGGTATACAATTTTTTACTTTTACATAAATTTAAAGAATGTCATTTTACATGGCCAACTACAAAATTTGAGTGAAATCGGTCGAATAGTTCCTGAGAAATCGAATTTTCAAAAAAGTAGTATATTTAAAATTTGATTTTTCAGGAACTATTCGCTCGATTTAGCTTACCTACCAATTCAAATTTCCTTCTAATGTTGTTCAATAAAATAATAATTCTTAATAATAATAAAATAATAATAATTTTAAATAAAATAATAATAATTAACTAATAAATATTTACTAAAAAGTATTTTTACACAGAATTATCTTTGAATAAACAAATATTAAAATTTTGTGCAAAAAATTGTCAACTCGCCTAAAGAGTTATCGACATAAGCGAAATAAGAAGAAAGTAAAATTAACATTAAGAGATCCAGACTTCGACCGCCCTCCTAACCAAACTATTGGGACCATATTTTCCAGATAGCGGCTACCACCGAATTTCGAAGATCAGGAATCCAAATCCCTCAAAAAAAGGCATATTTATTCAAAGAAAGTACATTTTTGTGTCCAATTCAGTAACTTAAAATATTGTCTGCACTTATTAATTAACATATTTGAGGTCACCCCCTCGTACCATTAATTCTGAAACGTGAAGATACAACTATTAGAACAAAATTGCTAAAAGTTATCCTTTTTTTTAAGCTGTACAACTTCTTAATTATTCTTTGTACACTAGGTTGATAAACTTTCAAAAGATAAAATGTATGTACCCCAATGATAACTTGCAAAGGATAAAGCTTATGTTCCTTTTCTGCGAACAGAACATGAACGTACACTGCTGTTGAGATGAACATCGAAACATGCTGTTGAACGTTTGAATGGAACTAGTTAATCATCGCAATGTGTAAGGGGGTTGCTAAAATTGTACATTTGAAGGATGTAACTTCTTAGGTTCAATATTTTTCTGCGTGTAACCTGTGCTTTTATTTCGTACTACAAGCAAATAAACATTTCTCTTAAATTGAATGAAATCTTATGTTTAACCCATTATTTTATTTCTTTCAAGTGAAAATATTTGTTTTATCATTAGATATATAGAGTGTAATTAAATTATATATGGATAAATGCAAATAGTAAATGTCTTTTTCAGCTTAACAAGATATATTTGATCACCAAAGAAGTAATTTAAACAAAACTAAATTCTAAAAAAGCACTTTTAGAAGAAATAAAATTAATGAAAATTTCTCTGCTGCCTGGAAAAAAAACAAATTTTGAAACTTTAGACAATTTATTATATGGGTAAATTTGTACTTAGAAAATAAATTAAAAAAATCAAAATGCCTTCCTTATTTTATTACCCATAATATGAAATTCGAATCAAAATGAATTAGAGAAAAATCGCATATATGTCACTGTGTCATGTTATATGTCACTATGTCATGTTTTATGTCACTAAACTGAGTTTTGCATATTAAAATTAACAAAAAATTATATTCTTAAAATATATTCTCCTCTTTAAAATCTTAAAACTTCTCTAAAATTATGAAATTTCAGTATTTCAAACAGTCTAAAATTTGGGTAAATTTTGAATTGTTAGTATTTAACAAATATTTTTACAAATGTTTTGTTCAATGAATGTTTCCCTTAAGGCTGTTTTTCGAAAGCTCGGTAGTCGCATGCAAAAAAACATTTTTATTAGAAAACTATTAGAATACATAATTATTCTAAATACATACAATGTATTTATGTACACGCATAATACAATAGCTTACGTAGATACAATCCACGTAGATACGTGCACAAAACGTACACGTATGTATGTACATACAACGTACACGTATATAAGTGCATACTACGTATGTATGTATATAAATACGTTGTATGTAATTATGCTCTTACAATTTACCACGGTATACAAGTACGAATGCACATGCTATTTGTGTACATGCTTAGATACGTTTGTTTATAATGTACATATACACAATGCACATATGTATGTACTTACAATGTATATGCATAAAATGTATATACATATAGCACGTATAACGAGCATAGATAAATTGCATTTACTTACATAAATTGTAAGTATATGCGTACATATATTATAGCTATATACTCACATACAAATATTGAAAGTACATATGTTCATAAATACCTAAGTAAATATCTATATTTTAGATGCATGGTACATGCAAACTCTGTATACAGACATAAATTTTATGTACTTACTTAAACATATTGTTACAAATATTTGCATCCATACATTGTACACAAACAAAACATATGCATGAACCAAAAAAAACCCGGATCATCCTGATTAACTTTTGGTCTAATGTTCCGATCTTCATGTTCGGGGACTCAATCTTAATGGCTCGAGAGAATGACTTTATATGTGCGAATTAATTCGAGCCGACGATATTTCAAGTGAAAACATCAGCCACAAAAACGCACTTTCTCTGAATAAATCTACCTTTTTTTCAACGAATTCAGATTTCTAACCCCCCCAAAATAAAGGGGATAGCCGCAATCTAGGAGATATGGTCCCAAAAGTTTGATCAGGAGAGTGCTTCAAAGTTTGGAGCCCTTAATGTTAATTTCACTTTTTGCGTATTTCGATAAATTTCGAGAAATTCTTAAACGAATTAAAACATTTTTGCGCACAATTATAGAAATCGTTTATCCAAATGTAATTCCATGCAAAACATTACATTCAGTAAATATTTATTATTTTTTATTATTTTATTTAATAATGGTCGAAAAGTGTTGAATTGTAAGGTATAAAAATTCTTGTGTCATTTTCGAGAATATAATTTTACAGAGCAAAATACAAAATTGAAGCAAAATCGGTCGAATAGTTCTTGAGAAATCGAATTTTAAAAAACTGACTTTTTTGGAATTCAATTTCTCAGGAACTATTCAACTTAATTAGCTCAAATTCTGTATTTCATCATGCAAAAAATTATAATAAAAAAAAAACTTACTGAAAGTTATTTTTACACGGAAGTATAAATAAGGAATTATATTAAATTTATATAAAGAGGCCCAAGCTTAACTTTAGAACGCTCTCCTGACCAAACCATGGTTACCACATTTCCTAGACTGCGGTGATCCTCTATATTTTTGGAATCAGAAATCCGAATATGTCGAAAAAAAGGTATGTTTATTTGGAGAAAGTGCGTTTTCATACCTGATTTCGTAACTTATCATATCGTCTACACTAACTAATTAACATATTTGAGGTCACCCTCTTGAACCATTAGGATTGAAGAATTTACGTAGTAGAACGTGAAGATCCGATCATTAGATCAAAAGTTATTCAGGGTGGTCTGTTTTTTATTTTGCGAACTATATGTACATTTTATGTAATATATTGTATCGTACTGGAATTCTTACTAAAATTGTAATATGTAAAAATTTAATTATTTGCTGATTGATACTACTAAATAAGTGGTATTTTTATCACGGCATTTATTGAATTTTTAGAAAGTGATATTATAGTATTCTGGAATTACAGGAAAAAAATTAAAGAGCACAGAGATACTCTTGACAACAAAAATGTGAGAGATTTCGTGGATAGTTATTTGATCGAAATGGAAATTCGCAAAGAAAAAATGCCTGGCACTACTTTCTCTGGTAAATAACATTCCTTTTTGCAATACAAGACTTACTTGTTTAATGTAAATTAACAATGATGTATATAGAAAAAATTAATTTTTAATCGAAAACTCTAAGAAACTGTCTGAAAAACTATTATTAAAGTAAATCACACTCTAGTCATTTAAAAAATACTACTTATAATTGCAGTAATTCTAAAGATGATTTCCTTTGTGTTTTCAAATGAAGGTATTGAAATTCCAGTTATAGTCTTATGCAAATAGTTATTTCGAACAGCTCTTCAAACAGTTTAGTTTAATGTTTTCCTTAATGATGACCAATGGTATCTCACCCATTGTGGTGGTCCTGAAAGAGTGGATACCACCTTTGGACCACGCACTAGGTCTGCTTATCGGCAAGACCGATTGTGCAGCTCATTGGAAATAAAAAAAAATAAAAAAAACATGTTTTCCTTAACTTTCCATTAATTTTCTCATATGTAACAAGAAAATAAAAATAACTTTATTATTTTTCCAATATTCATAAATGGTAATATTTGTATTGATAAATAGACTAAAAAGTAGGAATTTCAAATATAACTATTGAAAATTTAAAAAAAAATATTACAGTACATTATTTGTAGTTCAATCTTTGCGTCAATTTTCATATCTAAAGCATTCCATTTAAAATAATGTTTTTTATGAAAATGCTTTTATAATATTCATAAAAATAAATGTTTCTCTTAGACACTTTACACAGTGCTATTTTTATTGTTTTTAGTATTATTAAAATAGTACTTGATATGTAATACTCTGGAATTTCACGAGAATTAAATATTTTGTTCCCTCGAATTAGTTTCACGATTTTCGAATATTAAGCATGTATATAAACTAACGATATTTCTTTTCAGAAATAATTATACCATGAGGATATTTTATTTGCTCTGCAATAATTGTCGAGTTCAAAAACTCCTAATTCCTTGCTAATAATTTCAAAATTCGAACGCAAACAATGGAGAGAGAAAATTTAACAACGTTTAACTATAGTAATGCATGTAATAAATTTTGCCACGGTGAGTTACTATAAAAACTAATAATACACTAAAAAAATAAACAATAAATATAATTTTTTAATAATTCTTTTTTTAAAAATTTATAGTTCTTCCATACGTTTTTAAATTTCTAGTTTTACTATCTTGACGAATGCATCGTCTAATTTCTAAGAAATGCCTCGCTGCAAAATGATTAAATAACAATTTATTTCATTGTTATTTTACAATATTCAATCAAAGCAGTCAAATTACCATAAATAAGATGGTATTCAAACTGTTAACTGTGAGAAAAACAGTTTATGAACTGCTTTCACCTAATACGGTTAAACAGCCCGAATTTTATCGCGCCAATTTCTGATTTTGTAACTTATTAAACTATCGTCTCTACACTAATTAATTAGCATATTTGAGGCCACTCTTTTAAACCATTAAGATCTATTATGTAAAGGGGCAATCACTAGATCAAAAGTTATTCCAAGTACAAGGGTAGTATTACAAATACTAGGGTAGAAAAGGAAGGATGGAAATATCGCCAAATGATAATACAAGCAGATTTGGAAGCCGAACTTAAAAGGGGGAATAAATGTTTAAATGAAGAGACGAAGTGTGGCCAAATGTAAATACGAGAGAAATTGGAAGCCAAATGGGAATATCGAAAATTTTGAAAGAATACCTAAATTGTCGCCAACACATGAGATAGTGCGAGCTGTTTTTTGCATGAAATACATACACTTAATACGAAATGCCTCTTCCCTGTGGTGAAAATAGTTACATACAATGGTCTAAGATACCTGCGATGCAAAGTACAACACTCCCTCTGTATTTGTAATGATGAAAATAAATATTTATAGATTATGTTATCTTTATTCTCTGAATGTTTCCCCTCCACTGAAATTGCTTTAGTACAAGTTTTGAAGCATTTTTTGCCTTATGAAATCCCATGCTTCTAAGTTTCAAGAATTATATTAAATGTATGAGAATAACTGAATAAGGAAGTCATGTATATTGTACTAATAAATAATCACTTTCATTTTCAGACACTACTTTGGTTGGAACAGTTGGTGATCTATTCGGTGCAGGAACTGAAACAATTAGAACAACCTTAACGTGGTGCATGTATATAATGGCGGCATACCCGGATGTGCAGAAAAGAGTAGAACAGGAAATTTTAGATACTCTTGGACCAGATAGACTTCCTGAGATAGCGGATCTAAAAGAAATGCCGTTTACTCATTCTGTTATTCTAGAAATCTTGAGATGGAAAACAACTGTTCCTTTGAACCTTTTGAGATAGTAAGTGACACACAATGTGTTCCATTAACATCGCTCTTAATAAGCAGGGATAGTCTAAATAATCCATCCATTTACGAAGGACAGTTTATTTACAAGTATGTTACATGCAAAGGCAGGCGAAACATGGAAAGATACTTATTTTCATAAAGTTTCTCATACAGGCTACAAATATGCAATGCGTGCAGCATTGGTCAGCCAGATCAAATACGTATAATAAACCTGTACCCCTCAAGTGACCAATAGCATATTTCAATCACTCCCTGTCACAGTGGATGCGATATACTCCTTCAGTGTTGTTGGCTTTGAGAGTGCATAAGTTGTATTCTTCAGAAGTTGGTTTCGAGGATATATAAACTTGCAAGTTTATATTCTCCCATAGATAACAACGCTGAAAGGAAACATCACTGCTCGGTACATAAATTTTGTTTTACAGAAGTTGGCTTTGAGGATACATAAACTTGACTCTTTGCAAAGTTTTGTTCTTGCACTGCCAACAACACTGCAAAGATACATCACTCTTAAGTACATAAGTTTTGTCCTTGGTAAGCTGGTTTCAGGGTTACATAAACTTTACTCTTTGCAAGTCTATGCTCATTGCCAAACAATACTATTGAAATACTTTCCTGCCGTTGTGAAGGACAAAGATAGAAATATGCTATTAAACCTATGGACAAAATAAGTTTATCATTAAGATGTGTGCTGCATGACCGCTGTATGATACGCATAATTAACGTATGAAGAATGCTCTAGAAGCTTTTTTAATTGGTAAATCTTTCCATTTTCCTCCCATTTTTTGTACGTCATATGCTAGTAAATAAACAGTCCTTGAAAATGGACGAATAATTTAGACTAATCGTAAATCATTTACCTAGGTTAAAAGATTAAACAACCGTTTAATAGTTTAATTATTTAACGCTGCATATATGATCAGAATTTGATGAGGTAAGAAATAGTATGTAAAGTATAGGGACTGAAAATTGATATTTGCTTGAAGAAAAAACGAAAACGCCGTCAAAAATCTGACAAATCATTATTCTATTACATTAAATCATCACATTGAATCGGGGCTAAAAACATTTAAAGCCAATTTGACTGTCAGATTAATCTTGAAAATATTTCGAATAATCGCCATTTCTAAGTTATTCTAGCAATCAAACGTCTTTCGAAATTAATCTCGCTTTTTTGTTGACCACCAGTTGGCTGTCTTTTGGAATGGCGAAAAGGTTAAAGAGTTTCATTAAACAACCGAAGAACGCATTTTTCGATACCTTCGAATGCTTTTTCAAATTTTCAGAAATCTCTAGTAGGATTAAAAGAAAGTTAAGGGCCATGTATCATCGTCAAAGAAGTGTATGGAAAGCTAAAGATTTAATTCCAAAGAATCAGATTTTACCGCTAGGGGATGTAGCTGTCCGTTGCTCCAAAATAATAAGCTGCACGATGAGATAGGAATGAAGAGATAGAATAAGGAGATATCCGCTCCGCCTCCTACCAGAAAAGATCTGATTATACGATCCAAGTTCTTGGACTGAGATTAATTTAAATTGATGGAAATTTATTTTGCTTGGTGCTTAGATAGTGTAAATAATTATGCAAGTTCTTGGTCCAACCCCTCAGATGGTAGTAGAGCATGCTCTACTTTCCATCCAAGTTTTTCTAGCTGCGGCGGCATATGATCATTTCGTTTTGTTGTTCATTTTCATATATTTTTATCTAATTAAATTAATCTGTGAAGATGCTTCAGTTTTATTTTGTAATTTTACCTTCATCTAAGTGTGAGTTTATAATCCTAAATGTACATAATGCTCATGCACAAGTTTTTCATCCTACCAGTCAGGACATTGACATTTAATGAACATTTAAGAACATTTACAGTTCATTAACATTTAAGAACTTGGATAGTGACAACTTGACTAGTGGGCTATAAAGTCTAGAGATAAGAGCACTGTTGCTTCAAATAGTTCCAAGAGGGAAAATTGCTTGCCTTCTTCTGAGTTTTTGTTATCCAACTTTGACTACTTATATATAACTTTGACTAAGAGACCGCAGCAGCTTTTTCTGCCCCATCGAGTGGTTTGACACGACTTTTAAGTCGAAACACAACTAATTCCTTCGCAATTTGCCCTCCTGCCTTCAACATATTTGTCCTCTTTCTTAATCAGTTCATGTGACATCACCTTAGCACGTGTTATTGGTTTTAAATTCTATAATAAAACTTCCTTTTTTTCCACGCTTAAAATAAAAATTTGTGATACAGTACGTTTTTATTTAATTACTGTGAATGACTTCAAAATTCTACAATAAGGGAGTTGACATTTCAATATTGCAAACTGTAGCTGCTATTACGATTGATAAAATATATAATGATATAATAAATGCTGTTGTAACGGGAGCATTTAAAATAGTTCAGTAATTATTTTAATAGACAGTTTATATATACTTACAATATTCTGTATTATTACCATTTTTGTTGTAAACAATAGCTTTAAGAAAATGAAATAACTATTATTATGATAGATACCAATTTTATAATAATAAAATTATTACTGCACATTAATAGATTTTAACACCATTTATACTAATAAGAGTTATATAATTGTAAAAAATGTTAATAATATTCATTAACAGCGATTCTTCAAAAAAAAAATTCAATGTATATGCCATCTTGAATGAAAATATACAAAAATATAAATTTAAAAGAAACATACTATATTTTTCTTTTTCAAATCAATTTTAACTGTCATTTAAATAGTTATGAAAGAACATGAAAATTAGCTGTAAACAGAGCTTTGCAAATACCTAGGGTACTATAATTTTTTTTCAGCAAAAAGATTGTACGAAACATATATATCTTATATAGATGTAAGAGAAAACATTTATGATATGTAATTCAGACATTTTTTCACCATATAAATAATATTTTACCTTTGATTGGGTTGTCTCTAAAAATCAGGACAACTTAACATAACTAAATTTTCCAGTTCAGTTGATGGTAAAATCAACAAATTTGTTGTTGTATTTATACGAAACTACTCAATCGATTTATGGAGAAGTTTTTTTCAATATGTAGGGGATTAGAAAATAATTATATAAGCAAAAATAATATTTAAAAAAATATTTTGTATTTGCTAATTGTATTTAAATGTGTGGAAATAAGCTTTATCATTCTATTATTTTCAGAAATCACAGTCTAAAATGAATAATAATGCTAACTCTTATTTAAACGTTGAGAATTGCTATTCCTTGCATTTATTCTTTTGTTCAAATCTATAAATCTAATAGAATGCATGTTTTTTTTATTTTGTGACACATTTATACATGCCATGATTTAGTCAGAAAAGTGACTTAGTAAACATGTTACGGTAGTTTTTAATAATTTTTTCCATTCAAAAAATCAGAAAAGAATTTCATAGAATACTCGATAAAAGCATTTATTAACTCATTTCCCTCCATTCTTATTTTAAAAAATATAATCTCGAATGATTTAAAATGTTAAGGCCATTTTATAAGCATGTTCTGCATTATAAGCATCGATTGAAAAAAAAGAAATTGTAAATATAGATATAAAATTTTAATTCAAAGTTGTTTTTAAACTTTTAGCACTACTGCAGACATAACTGTTGCAGGATATGACATACCTAAAAATATTGATATGAAATTTTAATTCAAAGTTGCTCTTAAACTTTTAGCACTACTGCAGACATAACTGTTGCAGGATATGACATACCTAAAAATATTGATATAAAATTTTAAATTCAAAGTTGTTTTTAACTTTTAGCATTACTGCGGATACAACTGTTGCAGGATATGATATACCTAAAAATACAGACATAAAATTTTAATTCAAATTTGTTTTTAAACTTTTAGCACTTCTGCAGACGCAACTGTTGCAGGATATGATATACCTAAAAATATAGATATAAAATTTTAATTCACAGTTGTTTTTAAACTTTTAGCACTTCTGCAGACACAACTGTTGCAGGATATGACATACCTAAAAATACAACAGTCATGACGAATTTTTGGGCTGTTCACCACGATCCAAACAACTGGAAGGATCCAGACAGTTTTCAACCGGAGAGGTTTCTGTCTGCAGACAAAAAATCTGTAATTAAGTCACAACACTACATGCCTTTCTCTATAGGTAGGTATAAACAAAAAATGGATTACAATAGGGGTAAAATTGAAGTAGTGGATTTTCTGTTTAGTTGATTAAATATAATACGTAATTATTTACAATACAATATTTTTACTCAATATGAAAATAGCAAATCGGAGAATAACTCCACTCCTATTTCCGTTTCATTGTAAAACACTAATCAAACCATTTAGCATCTAAAAGTAGCAGAGATAGTTGAATTATTTCTAATAGTTTTTAAAAATGCTTTTGCATGTTCGATATTTCACATATTCGACTTAAATGAAAGTATTTTTTGCTTATCCCTCCTCGAATTGACGTTGATAAGGATTATACTTTGTATAATGAAGTTGAAATATCAACCAAAATGAAAAACTTGGATTACAAAGAAACATTTTTAAAGCGGAAAGGAAAATCGAAAATAAATATCTTTTTTTTAAAAAAAAAAAGAAAGAGGAGGGGAGTAAAATTAAATAGAGTTATACAATTGATTATGCAGAAATGTTATTGATAGATGAAAATAGAACTTATTTAAAGAAATCGAATAAAGTGAAAGTAAATTAAATATGATGGGAATATTATTGCAACACAAAATCGTTAAGAGGCGAAAATATTTGTTCATGAACATAGTTTCATGCAAAATAGCGAGAAATGTATTTAGAATGAAAAAAAAAAACAATAAATGTTAAGCACGTTAATTTGCACATCATTTTAAAATCTTTATAAAAAGGCGTGTCTTGAAATCCATCATACGAAACCACTTTTAAAGATAAAAAGTATCCTAACAATTCGTTTATTTATTTATTTTTTTGATGATGTTTAAAAAAAATTTGATAGATTGAAATTTAAAGTTGAATTTTCTTCAGCCCTTTTTGAAATGCCGCTTAACACGATTGCTTCTGCAATTTTAAATAAAATTTTGTAAAATTTTTAGCTAGTTAAAATTTTGTAAAATTTTAACTAACAGCAATTACATTATTTAAGCACTTTCCGCTGCATTTAAAAAATTTTGTTATGCTAATTATTAATGATAAAATCGGTGTTTCTCGAAAGTCTAGATTAGTTTAGTCAGTTAGTTCATCAGAAACTATCAACGGAATAAGGAAACATCATTGGGAGAAATGGAAATAACACTAATATACAGTGCGTAAGAAAATAAACGTACCATCCTAATAACTTTTTATCTAATGATCGGATCTTCACATTCTAGGACTCAATCTTAATGTTTCAAGAGGTTGATCTCATACATGCTGACTACGTCTAACTTTACCAACTTTTCAAAGTTAATTTAATTAAAATAAAGACTTTTCAAAATCCGATATCTCAGTAACTATTCGACTGATTTCGTTCGAATTTTGTATTTTGCATAATATTAATATGCAAAATGCAAAATTTGCATTTTATTTATATGCAATTAACTTGCTTTAACTTTTTCCTTAGGTCGAAGAGTATGCCCAGGTGAAGCTATGGCTTATATGGAAGTATTTTTATACTTTGCTTCGCTACTTCAGAAGTTCCAGGTTAAATTCCCAGAAGGAGTAAAGCCAACTTTCGACTCAGAACTCACTATAACATATCATCCGAAACCATATAAAATCTGCTTCATTTCAAAAGAATGATTTATTCTAGTAAATGTGTAGCTTTATCTCTTGCAAAAAAATGAAGTTCTGAAAGAGATGATCTTTAAAAGCAGAAGTTCATTCTGTTTTTCAACCAATCATCAATGAGGATCAAGTGTGGACGAAAATTTTGATGTTTGATGTTTCTTGGAAGAATAAAAATAATAATGAATAAAATATTAATAAATTAAAAGCCAATCTTATTTTTAATGTAAAGTTTTAAGGCATCACGTACCAGCACCACCTTCAAAAAAAATCACTATGTATAAATATAAAAACGTCTAGACAAAAATACCAAATTGAGAAATACATTGCCATGACAAATGTAAATGAAGTAATGATGCTTTCTTATGCATGTTATGAAATTATAAAACGAATCCTAATGTGCTTTTTGAAACTTCACGGAGAAGAAAAGTATGGTCAAAACTACCAAAATATGACACATTTACCGTGTTTCTGTCTCTATTGGAACACCAAAAAGCTCTGTAATAATATGTTCATAAGATTCAGTGGAGCTTTGATAATTATTTTGCTAAAATTACAATAAAATGTGGTATTACAATATGTAATAAAATTTTATAGTTTTATCATTACACCTTAGAACATAAAAACCATTTATTCGGGGAAATTTACTTTCCATTTTTGTTTGCTTTGCTAAATACGTGGTAATGAATAATTTTGAAAATTAGAGTTTCTGATAAACAGTTACCATATGAACGGAAAAATTATTAAATGAATGGCTTAAATATCATACATCTTGGTTTTTATTATCAGAATTGTGATTTTTTTTACCAGAAATGTCATCACCGCATAGTACAATAATATTACCAGAATTTTTTTCTTCTAGTAGCAATTCCTTAAATTAAAAAATTAAATGGATATCTTTAAAAAAATAAAACAGTTGACATTAAGAGTTCTCATTTTTATTTTACGGCAAAAGACTAATACTTTTTGGTACTCTCTTGGATCTTATGATTCCTCACCAATGCATATTAGAACCCTAAGTAAGACGTTGTAGAATTCTGTTTTATTAAAAAAAAGTATATTTCATATTATAATCATCTTTGAACTGCCGACCTGATTTTAAGTTTACGACTATAGGTGTTCAACTCAGTAGCCTTGTAATTTTGAACCCAATCCAGAAGACACAAGGGAATTCCTGGATCAAGTGTTGGGAGAAATTTTGCCGTCGCTGAGGACTTTTTGATGGAACTACCCAGCTGTTGCGTTACAAGGGGAACACCACGAAAACTTCCTGCGGTTAGCCTGACTGCAAGGTGATTCTAATACATGATCCGTCTACCACTTAGGATATTTTATGTCCAGTGCGAAAATCGTATGGACCAGCCATTGTTGGGATTCGAACCAGGTTCATCTCATTGGAAGATGAACGCTGTATCCCCTGAGCTCGATGGCTTTCACAATAGTATAGTTCAAAATTAACAGTCTCCACCAATCATAAGGTGGCTAAATATATCTAGTGGCGATTAAAGAAATTGCCAGCAAGTCGCCACCAGCTTGCCTCTGTTTTCGACGGAAAGGATTCCCCATGTGCATTTTATTATTTTTTTTAATAAATATGGAAGAGACGTGATGGCTTTGGGGATAGAGCATTCGCCTTCCAATGAGGTGAACCGGGTTCGAATCCCAACTATGGTTTGTTGATATGAATCCGGCTTGCACCGATCACAGTGCTGAAGTAAAATATCCTCAGTGGTAGACGGATCATGGGTTAGAGTCCCATTGGAGTCGGGCTAAACATGCGAAGTTTTCGTGGCTTTTCTCTCCATGTAACGCAAATGCGGGTAAATTCCATCAAAACGACAAACCTCTTCCAATGCTTGATCCAGTAGTTCCCTTGTCTTCTGGATGGGGTTCGAAATTACAAGTCTACGAGTTGAACATTAGTAGTCGCAAACCCAAAACAATGGGTCTGTTGATCAACGACGGGTATAAAATAAAATATAAAATAAATATGGAACTATTATGAGTATTTTATAATATTCTGAAAACATTTTAGTCTCATGCTCGTTTCTTAAGTTTGTACTTCATTTTTGAACTGAACCTTGTAATGCTACCATATTTTAAGAAGTTATTCAAAGGAATTGTCTTACATTATTATTATTAAAAATTTTAATGATCGCTTAAAAATTTCAATTTTTGAAAAAGTGGCCACGTGTTTTAAAAAGTGGGCACTTTTAAAAATGCTACAACTGGCCACTGTAGCAAAATTTCCAAATTTTGCTCTTTGCGTAACAGACCCTTAAGCTAGCTAGGCCCCTGGAGGTTATGCCTCCTCATTTGCTTAACCACCTGCCTAATGGTGGCACAGTGATTGCTGGCTCCTTTTATTTTCAAGACATTCTTTAAACTGAAACTGGTTTGACTGCGTATAGTCTGTCTATGGAAAAAACTCTCTTCGCCATTCGTCTGAAGCAATGTCGTTTACTACGGTTACGAAGTTTAACTATTTCAAACAGGGGTGTTGGATCAATATTTAAGACAGATTTTGGCTAGAGTTCACGAGAAAAAGGGAGTCAGGGGAGAGAGAAGCTCTTTTAAATGCGCTATTCTTCGTTTCCATGAGATCACACGACCCTGGACTTTGCGGCGAGGGGAGTTCTTTCTATAGACTATACCTTCGAACCCTAGTTTTTAACAATGACAGCTTGATGCCTTAACCACTGGCTTTCGCAGCTCTACTATTGTTAAAAAATTTCTCACATTTAAGTGTCTGGCGCAGAAGTTACTACAAGTCATACATTTTGAATTTGCTCCTTTCGATATTTTTTTCATGAGTGCTAAAAGCAATTAATTCTCCATTCTTTTACAACACCAAATGAAATCGGTCACTTGCATTTTTGGAATTTCAAAAATGCTTTAAAAACTACTCAAATGTTTAAATTACTACTAAAATGCAATCTTTTCTAGACCACGTAGCGATAACATTCTTAAAAATGTAAGTTATGCTTTTGGAGGATTAAAAATATTTTTGAATCATAAATGAAACATTTTATATTTCACAGTGAAATTCTATAAAACTTGATTAACACTTATTTGTCTTAACTAATCATTTCCGTTAGTCCTATTTATGTAATAATATTATACTATAATATTATTATACTATAATGTAATAATATTATACTATAACACTGTAATAATATTATACTATAATACTGTAATAATATTATACTATAATATTTTATTAGAATTATAATATTATAATATTTGAACTTTTATTTTCTTTGGTTGTCTTTTTAAAGATTTGAAACTTTTTCCTTTTTATTTTAACATATTTAGAAATTTAGACACACGAAGCCATCAATACTACTGATAATTCTTAGTTAAATTTGTTTCTGGAATTTACTAAGACTATCAAGCTTAATAAGCTTTTAGAAGTATTTTTATAAATGATGCAGTCATTATTATCAAACTGATAAAAGTACAAATCCACATGTTCTTACAAGTGGATTATGTTGAAAAGTTTCTGTTCAAAAAACATAATAATTCCGTAATTTATCTAGTACAGAAGCTTTCTGTTTTCTAAACCTACAAAAATTTATTGTCAAACTACACAGTAATCTCTCAAAAGTGACATTTTTCTGTTACAAAATAAAATCTGTAACCCATAAATGCAGATTATATGTGTTGGGTAAAGATATGTTCCGTTTTGAATGTAAAATACTCTAATATCAAAACGGCAAGAATAATTAGATACATTGTAACGGGTGCCAATCGGATTGTATAGTGGTCAAATAGTTAGCCTCATTCCAGGAAGGTTCCAGGATCGAATCCCGCTTTGGGACATCTGAACTAAACGATGGAAAGGAAACAAATTTTTTTTATTCAAAAGTTTTCGATGCATCAAAAATCACACAAATAATAGAATAATTCAAAAACTAATCAATATTGAAACAATTTGTTTCACTATGTTTTAACTAGAGGATATACAGCAAACTATATGCTAAATTTCTCTGCCGCATCCTGAGGACCGTACCCTGACCTACGGAAAATATCTTACGCTTACTGCTATATTCTGTAATGTTTTGTTACATGAAATTTCTGTCAAACTGACTTTTCCATAGTACACTGTAAAAAATTTCGAGCTATGCTGCACCAAACATTGGTATTCATTTGCTGGCTACATAAAGTCGTGCTCAGTTTTACTATATATTGGTGCTTTCACTAGTTCCAAACAACGAGAGAAGGTTGCACCAAAAATCGGAATTTTGAAAGAGACTAAAAGCGGCGAAAGGTTGCACCAAAAATGAGTGTTTTGAAGGAAACTAAAAATGGAGGAAGGTTGCACCATGATTTGGTATTTTTGAAGGGAACTAAAAGCGAGGAAGGTTGCACCATTATTAGGTATATTTAAAGTGCTAAAAAGCAGGGTAAGGTTGCACCATTATTAAATATTTTTATAGCGCCAAAAAGCAGATAAAGTTAGCATCATTAATAAATATTTATAAAAAAAAGTTTTTAATATAAAAAAATTTAATATATATTTATATATATATAAATATATATTAAATAATACATCTAAAATAAAAATAGCTTTTTAAATTTTTATATATTTAAATAATTAAATTATAATTTGATTTAAATTATCTTCTCTTTCTTTTAAAATATTTATTAATGATGCTAACTTTATCTGCTTTTTGGCTCTTTAAAAATATTTAATAATGGTGCAACCTTACCCTGCTTTTTAGCACTTTAAAAA